TAGAAGAGATAAGGTCTTGCTGTGTTGCCCAGGCTAGTCTCAAACTCCTGGCCTCAAACAGTCCTTCCATCTTGGCCTCCCAAAGTGCTGGGATTATGGTCATGAGCCACCATACCTGTCAAACTCACTATTTTTTATTTTGTTACAGATCCTAGGGACCTAGACTATTTTCGTGCCACCACCCACTCTCTTCCTTAGAGTTCTCCCCTCTATGCCCAGGTCTAGCTGTACAGCAAGTTACTATTTCCCAAAGCAAGAATATGTTCCTATTTCCTTTTAAGGATTTCACTGTTAACTATCACTTCTTTCATCTCAATAGGACTTTTGATTGGATCTACACATTCATCACAGACAGTTTGAGATTATGCTTTCTCACGAGGGCCTGGACTTAAGGTGTTACTGATTAAGGACAGATTTATAAACATGCAGACTAGAAGTATAGGTTATATAGTTGATGTTTTTTAGAAAATTTGGTGTACTCAGCCAGTATTTTCCTTTAAATGGAGTATAATCCAGCCCGTACATGTAGGCAAAACTAGTTATCTGTAGTAAACAACTTTAGATCTACAGCAGCTCTTGAGACAAATGCTCATTTGAAGTCATAGTTTGAAATTGAAGAGCTTGGTAGAGATGATTTAGGATTAAACTGTTTGCAAAAGTCAGGATTACCAGTTGACCTCCTTAGTCATAGAATAAGCCAGAAATACTTCTGAGTTAACATTTGAGTCTAAAAATACAGTCTTTTGTATGTGCATGTTGGCAAAAAAAGCCTTCACTGCTGACAAATAGCTTACCTTTATAGAAAGACTTCTCTGAATTTAGTTAGAAGCTGTTTTAATATTAAGAATATGAACCGGATGCAGTGGTTTGCGCCTATAATTCCAGCTACTTGGGAGGCTGAGACAGGAAGATCACTTGAGCCCAGGAATTCGAGACTAGCCTGGGTGATACAGCAAGACCTCACCTCTTTAAAAAAAAAAAAGCTTTTACGTTGACTTCAGCACTCAGTTCCTAGTGTATAATGTAGAGAGAAATAATACTTCTTGAGTGAGTGAATTCAATTAGTGATTTATAGAATTTTGTTTGTAACCTGTTTTCCATGTAAATCATTACTTTTTATATCTTTAGGAACAGCTGTTACTAGAACCAATGTTTGAAGTCCCTAATTCTGATATTGTTTGTGTGGAGGTTGACAAAGAAGTAGTAGAAGGAAAAAAGGAACCAGGATATGTGCGGTAAAGTATATTTTCAAGCCAGAACAGATTTAAATTTAAGATCACCTCCTTCTTGCTGTGGGTTATTGGTCTGTCATTTAAAAATTACATAAAAATCCTTATGTTTGTAAGGGAAGCAATAATCTTAAGTTTTCTGTAGAAAAGTGTAATTTGAGTTTATAAAATAATAGCATTTTTGTGTCTTTTTAAAAATTGATCTTCAAAATCAGCCTCTACTTTTTTCTCCTAAAAAAAAAAAGTATCAAAACAGACATAACAGCAATACAAATGAGATTAAAATGAATTTTTGCTACTAATTCTCTGATAGTCTTTGAATGACTTTTTTATGTCTTTCACAAGTCTAAAACTTTATCATAATTTTTTTCTCCCAGTACTATCCTATCAGTTGATAAATTCAACACATCTTTCACTGCTTTATTTTATTCCAGGGCTCAGCAAACTTTCTCATAAAGGGCTAGATAAATACGTTAGGTCCATAGAGTATGTATTGCAACTACTCAACACTGCCCTCATGGCACAAAAGCAGCCATAGACAATATGTAAATAAATGACTATGTTTGTATTCCAATAAATCTGTATTTACAGAAAGAGGCAATGGACTAGATTTGGCTTGCAAAATCTAGTAGTTTACTAACCCTGATTTATTCAATAAGTATTTATTATACAGGGCTTAATGTTACCTACACACAAGTTAGGTTTCTGTTGAACTCAGTTACAAGGTATATGTTTTATGTTTGTTTATCTTCCAAGATAACTTAGGAGGCAGTTGATTGGTTTTGAACAGCCTCAGTTATTCAGAAAGATGTAATCTTTTATTTCCATTATTTAATGACATTGATGTGTGACTTTAAAAGGTATTGTGATGGTCTAAATCATAATTTTGACTAATTTGAGTCAGGTCAGATTTGGTCAGAAATAGTCAGCTTCTTTACCACATACATATGCTAAATTAAAGCATTTGCGTTGAAATAACAGATTCTACTTTATTTGTTGAAAAGTATTTTTTAACGCTTCATAATTGAAGACCCGTCGTCCATTTAATTCAGTAATAAATTTGTTAGGGAAAAATCTTGAGAAATTTATTTGCATCTCTTGGTTGTGTAATCTGTTTCCCATATTTCACCACTATGCCAACAATATTTAAAATGCCCTGAATATTTTCTATTTTTGTGGCTTTTTTAGCTAGAGGATTAATTTAGTATTCTAAGTCTAGAAATCATGTTTACCTCCAATTTTTATTTAAAAAACAAACATGGCTTTTCATTATAGGGCTCCAACAAAAGAATCCTCCGAAGAGGAATATGACTCTGGTGTTGAAGAAGAAGGATGGCCTCGCCAGGCAGATGCTGCAAACAGCTAAAGTGTCAGATTCCTGTCCTGTATATAAAGCTTTTCCTTCTTTTGTTTAGGATCATAACTGTCTCTACAGTCTGATATTAAAGGCATTGGATCTATCTTGGCTATCATACATGGTCAGAGAAGCCTTTAGGATAAGAATCAGATCATGTATATTATTGTAACATCACATCGATTTATACAGAGGACATTATGTGGACTTTAATGATACAATGTTTAGAGATAAATGTACATTATTTTGGTTCAGTTTTTAAAAAATATGCTTTAACAAAATTCTTAGGAATTCTTTTAAGCAATGCAGGTATTGCAATAACTGTGGATTTTACAATAATGTTACTCTACAAATGGGAAAATAAATTCTTTAAAATTAAATGTTGGGATACCATTCTTTAGTGTTACCTTTTTCTACTTACATTTGTTTCCTGAAAATACCAGAATTCATCTGAAAAATTGGACCAGGTAGTTTTCAAATTGTTAAAAATTTCATGAAAAAAATACCCTCAAGAACCATATTTTGATGATTTGTTTGGCTATATTCTTAGTCTTATCTGCTAATGCATGACACTAACTTCCCAATTGGCACTATAAAAAAGGCCATTCTCTTACTGACTTGTCTGATTTATTTGCCATCTTTGATCCATTTTGGTACCATGAGTGCGTAGATGGAATTGAAGTCTGGCTTAAATCTTCAGAAAAAGACTATACATCTAATCCTATAAATAGCAATAAGTTATCAGTCACAGCAGTAGCTATGTGCGAAACTAGATATCCTGATATTGTTTACTTACCTCAAGTACTGAGCTAATTTTTTTGTTTTGTTTTTTGGTGCCAAACATTTGTCTAATTCTTTGGCTTCATAGAACATTAAAGAAAATCTGTGTTTTGCTATCTGCCAAAGTGAATATGTCATACTAACATAGGTTACTAACCTTCATTATATAACAAAACCTAAAAAGTGGGGGAGAAATTTGGTACTTGAAAATTGTATCATTTGATTCCATAATTATTAAAATATTTGGGTTTGGGTACCTTTTAAGTTTCTTTCATTCTGTAATGATACAAGTTTCTATTATTCTGTTCAATCTCTCATTTATAATTGTTATAAATCAGAGGGTTGTTTGTTTATAGACTCTCGAGTTTTCCTTTTACCTACTTTTGCTTAGGAAAAGAACCTTAAGCGATTAGCAAATTCTAAATCCTGTTGATGAAGAGTTGAGCTTTCTATGATGTAATAAAAGGAATGTAAGATACCTATTTATGGCTAGGGTAGGGCCAGAAATGCACTTTGTATTACAGAGTATTTAAGGCTAGTTGCTATAATATGGCACAGAAATAGGTATCCTTCTTAGTCTCCCTAATAATGGTTCAAGATCTTCTCAGGAAGTCTTTCATATTATAACTCTGTTCATTATCTTTCTCTTTTAGCATCATTTTCTTTTTTGTAGAGTGGAGATCAGAGTAGCTTCTAAACATGTCGAGGGTAATCCTCCAAAAATGGGCTGGGAGACATTTTAGTCACAACTACTTACATTTGGTTTTGGAAGTTGTTAACAAAGCATAAACGATGTTTTTAAATCAAACACAACTGAGTCTAACTACAATTTGTATCTTGGAACTTATGTTTTGGCATTTGAATAAAACAAAAGGTCTAAATGAAAGCCAACGTGGTGGTGTGTCCATACTGCAACAGTGCAGGAGCACTTGGCATTGACGGCAACAAGCGTGGCCAAACCAGTGCCATTTTTAAAAGGGCACAGTTGTCATATGAGCTGCCTTATTCTAGGGAGTGGTTAATCCGTGGCACTTCATATGCCTCTGATAAATTCTTCTAGTTGTAGATCCACAAAATTTAATTAAGGTGTTTATTGAAAATCCTTAAGTGTCCCTCACAGAACATGACACTAGGGATACAGATCAAGATTTTCAAGAAACTACTCTTGTAGGGGAAGCAAACACAAATTTCAGTACATTTTAATAGTGGAGGTGAGGTAGGTACCAGTTGGGGTGGTACAGAAGAAGGGTCTGTAAGAAAATATAGGAATATGCCAGAAAAGAATAATGAGAATTAAAATCTCAGAGATATAAAACAACAAATAGGGAGCCTTAGGAGTTGAGAAATAGATAACAACTATGACCTCCTGTTAATACTCTGAGATGACCATTTAATATTCTCTCCGTCCAGCTAAAGACATTGCCTCATATTTCATTGAGAGATCATCAGATGGAACTCATCATCCTGCTGTCTATAAATCTACCCACTTCATCACGCAGCCTTTCTAGTTAAAACTGAAGGATTCCTCTTAACCAAAACTCAGTCATTCCTCATATGTTCTGGGTCCCATTATCTCCTCTCATTTCTCAAGGCGTTTAGTTCTTTTATTGGTATCTCTACTAAGTTATTTGTCTCCTTCCTTCTGAATCATTCCCAGCAGCATCTAAACGCTGCCTAGTAGTTCCTGTCTAATACCAAATCTCCCAAGCTTAGTTACTTATCTTTCCAACACCCTAAGTACCATTAGGGTAAAGACCTAGCCTCTTTTGTTAACTCTATTACCAGCACCTACCATAGTGCTTCTTATATTTGGTGTTCCGTACATTTTTAAACAAATAATAGAATGCCTTGTATGCCAGGTTAAATTGTAATTTTTTGCAGAAAGTAGTGGAGCATTATTAAAAGGGGTTTAGCAGGGGAGTTGGCCATGATTAGATGTGCATTTTGGATTGTTGGGAAGGGCAGGCTCTGAGGAAAATGAATGGAAGGAAACATAACTACTCAGCATTTCTCCAACACTCGGCCTATCTGCTGTCTCATCAGTTTTCTGCTCTTTTTTTCAGATCATTTCTCATCTGCATGCAAACAAAACACAACTTCCTTGAATCCACATCCTTTCCACCCGTTGACCAGCTTGTTCACAGCAAAACTGAAAGTTGGTCTTGCAGTTTCCAATTCCCCTCCAGGCTCTGACTTTTAGATGAGAAGCTGTTAGAAGGTTTTGCACAGAGAAATGACATCTGACTTAAGTTTTTTTTGTTTGTTTTTAAATTTTTTTTAATTGAGTGGGTCTGTGAAACCGACTTAAGTTTTAAAGGCCACGTCAGTTGCAGCGTGAGAGAACAGACTAGGAAAACAAGGAAAAGATGATGAATTGGGCTAAGGTGGTAGCAGTGCAAGTAGAAGAAAAAGTGAATGGGTAGGTATTTTCACAAGTCCAATGAAAAGTGGGATCCTGTGTTCTTCAATGGGGAAACTCATGAAGATGTCTATTATTCCTGATTTAATTTTTACGTTTAATATTTTTTAAAAGCCAATAGATTTTTTTAATTGAAACAAGCCGATTCTAAAGTTCGTATGGAGGAATAAACAAAAATGGTGAACAAGTAAAATGCTAATGTACGCTCATATAGTGCTTACCTGCTGTCATTCTATATTTAATGCAGCAACTCTGAGGTAGATACTATAATCAACTCTTCTCATAGATCAAGAAACCGAAGCCCAGAGTGGTTACGTAGCTTTCCCAAGCTCACACGGCTAGTTAACAGAGCCAGGATTTAACCCCACGTAAACCAGTTCCGGAGCTCCTACACTTAACGCACTGAAAGAAGGATGAAGAGGGCTGCCTCTACTAGCTATTTTGAAAATATAAAGCTTCAAAGATTTAAGTGTGTACCAGTGTATGAATGGACAGACCAATAAAGAGAGTTCAGAAATAGATCCCAAATACATATGGGAATTTAATATGTGAAAAAGGTGACATTTCAAATTATCAAGAAAAATAAATTTAATAAGTGGTATTGATAACTGAGTAGCCATCTGGAAAATATAAGATTATATCTTACCTAATAAATTGTATTTAATTTTTTATGTCAATTTGAGATTACCTAATTTTAAGATAAAAACTGAAGCCTTTAAATGTTGTGTAGTATCACAATAAGAGTTTCTGACAAGTTTGGGAAATAGGGTCAGGCTCTCTGATTGGTTCCTATGGTATGACCCAAGAGATCATTCCCTTTCAAAATCAGGAACCCTTCTAATTCATCTTCATTCCCGTCTTCAGCTCTTGGCATAGATAGTGCTTAATAAATGTTTGATGAACATATGAAATGGGGCATGTCCATCATCCAGTTATACTTTGCTCAGAATTACAGTGCTTTGAGATGTAAAAATCTAATTGTGATGATAGAGCAACTGGACATTCATAGGCAAAAGAGAAAGGAAAGAAAAAAAACCTCAATCGACCCCTAAGTCTCACACCTTATATAAAAATTAACTGAAAATGGATCACAAGCCAGGCATGATAGCACACACCTGTAGTCCTAGCTACTCGGGAGGATCCCTTGATCCCAGGAGTTCTAGTCCAGCCTGGGTGATATAGCAAGACCCCGTCTCTTAAAAAAAAAACCACAGACTTAAATACAAAACAATAAAATTTTAAGAAAAAACACAGGAGAAAATCTTGCAGATCTACAGCTAAGTAAAGAGTCCTTAGAGTTGACACCAAAAGCACAATCCAGGAAAGCAAAACTGATAAATTGAACTGAATCAAAATTAAGAACTTCTGCTATGCAAAAGGAAAAACCCAGTCTTATATAGAAAATAATTAACCAGGCGTGGTGGCACATGCCTGTAGTCCCAGCTACTTGGGAGGCTGAGACAGATGGATCGCTTGAGCCCAGGAGTTTGAGGTTGCTGTGAGCTAGGCTGACACCACGGCACGCTAGCCAGGGCAACAGCGTGAGACTGTCTCAAAAAAAAAAAACCCTGTAAGATGAAAAGACAAGCTACAGAGTGGGAGAAAATACTTGCAAACCGGGAAGAACTAGCACCTACATTACTGGCTCTACCCCTTGGACACACTATGTATATGTGTCGGTGCAAAGGTAATTGTGGTTTTAGCTTTGTGGGAATTTGCCATTTGATATTGGAATACATTCTTAAATAAATGTGGTTATGTTATACATCATTTTAATGTGCATTTCTTTATTTTTTTGCTAATGACTTGTTACTTGCTGTTTATTTTATATTTATTTTAGACTATGGAAATGATATTGGACAAAAAGCAAATCAAAGCGATTTTCTTATTCGAGCTCAAAATGGGTTATAAACAGCGGAGGCAACTTGCAACATCAACAAGGCATTTGTCCCAGAACTGCTAACGAACATACAGTGCAGTGGGAGTTCAAGAAGTTTTGCAAAGGAGACGAGAGCCTTGAAGATGCGGAGCACAGTGGCCAGCCATCGGAAGTTGACAACAACCAATTGAGAGCAATCATCAAAGCTGATCCTCCTGCAACTACAAGAGAAGTTGCCGAAGAACTCAATATTGACCATTCTATGGTCGGTCGGTTGGCACTTGAAGCAAATTGGAAAGGTGAAAAA